TGTGATTGGGTGGATCGCAATCACATGACTTACACCGGCCATGTTGTCACCAAAACAAAACATTAAAGCTATGCGCGCGCATGCGCCTGGGCTGTTTGGTAACGACATGGCGTCCATGCGCCAAGTTGGCCAAACTCTATCTACGGCTCTGATTTCTCCTTAAACATAGCCCCCTCTATAATACTTGCCTCTCAATATATAAGAAGCTCGTTATTTTAAGCTATTTTGTCCTAAAACACCGATGGATAACAATTTACTGAAGGAGGCCGGAAGGCTTCTAAATCAAGCTGCGGATTTGCTGCGGGGTCAAGGCACTAACCACGGTGGTGGCATCTCGCACACCATCACTAACGGTAGGGGAAAGTCATTTTCTCAAGCAATTTGAAACCACCATGTGGTGACACTACTACCAATGTTTATGCATGCAAAGTTTTCAGCGAGTAAAGAAAGTCTAACATTGTCCTTTACAGCGTGTACGTGGTAGGTTTCAGCGAGTAGGTTTTTCATTTCTGCGAGTAGGTTGTTTGTTTCTGCGAGTAGGTTGTTCATTTCTGCGAGTAGGTTGTACGTTTTTGTGAGTAGGTTGTTCATATGTAACTGTATTTTTGGCGGTGATTGCCTTTCATATATTACTAATTTCTCGTCCCCTCGCACATCCATTTTCTCTGCCTCATTAAGTGCTCTCATACTCCTTTTTTCAAAATATTAGGACGAGAAACTACATTTTTTGTTTCCTTGGCCTTATGTATCTTGATGTTATTATCATGTAATACACATATATAAAATGATTTAATCACACATTATTTCTTGACTAGTCATAGCTCCATTCCTGTTTCTTCTTAATCAAAAATGATTCAGCCATTTTGCCCTTGGAAGAAAATTTAAAAACGAGCTGAATAAAGAATGGCAGAACAATGTGAATAAAATAGGAATGCTCCCACTGGAGAATAAATCCAAAGGTTTTTAATCTTCTTACAGATTTCTTTGAGTGTAACTGTACTAAGTGGGTTCAATGTACCACAGATCTCTGTACTTCTTTTCAATTAACTATTCTATGTGGGAAATCACATCTCTTAAAAGAGTCTTTATGTCATTCTACTACCTGTGTTATGGTATCCTAAGCAAACAGAATAGCCAAATCTTGTAAATGCTTAGTTTTACGTAGCTCCATTCAAACATTCCACAAGTAGTACTAATAACTTTACTAATGACAGGGAGTTCTTTAGCTCATGTAAATTTAGACAGAATGACTTAACTGAAAAAAATGCAATCTTTTTTTCAAAAATTGGTTGAATTACTTAATAAGTGTTTGCCCTTTTAGGGACAAATAACCAACAATTCAAACAAAGTAAAAGTAAATATATGTCTGTGAATGTTGTCATATTTATCCAAGGTAGGTTGGTCACTATAATATTATAAAACAAATACATCTGGGTCAGATGTGAAATATTGCCACATAAAAAGAAAGTCCAGTAGAAGAGATTTATTGGTTTAATAATATAATAAACCTTAACTAATAAAAGAAAAAAATCAAGATATAAAAACAGAAAGGACTAATCACACACTGCCAAATTTATCAAACTCATAAACCAAACTGCATATTCTTGGAATAAACCATTAAATATACTGTAACCCCATAATAAATATGACAATATTATTTCCAAATAAATAAATTATTAATAATGATTATTAATTTATAACTATTTTGTATATTGACTTTTCTTTAAGTTGGTTTGTTGTATTTAACCCTCTTTTTGAACTTTATTTCAAAGAGTACATGAGTACTGACAGTGTCTGCATATCTGAGAAAGAATAAAATAAACAAATATTTGGCAACAATACTTTTCATCTTAAAGATTGAGTCTATCAAAAATGTATAATACCTCTCATGATTAATTAGAGAGAATAATAGAGAAAGGCAATCGCCCATAGCAAAATATCTTAGTAGATTTTAATAGGCTTTAGTGGACAAAGCCCTGGTTTTAATAGGCACTAACAGACCTAGTTGATTTTGGCAGTATGTTACTAGTTTGCTGTCCACCTTTAATAGGTGTTAAGTAGTTATTGATAGATTGTGAATTGACCTATTTTTTTAGGTGCTTAACTGACATAACAGACAGGGAATGAGGAAAATTACAACAGTATACAAGGTGAAACCTTTTTTATTCCTTGTTTACTTATTTTTTTAAAGATCATCAGGGAAGGGCGGAATAAAAATAAAATATAATTTTGTTTTCTTATTTAGCAAATAGCCAAAAACATCCAGACAGAGGACAAAATAAAAATAAAATTTTACTGGTGAATGTAAAATAGGATGGTTAAATGCTTCAAATTTATATAATTAGGAAGAAATATACATATCTTATCTTTAGAGATTTCAAGTCAGTGGAGGGTGAACAAAAAAAAAATTTTACTTTTATTTGACATCATCAATATTTGCAGTCAACGGGTTCACTAAACAAGGTATAAAAAAAAGTCTCGCCCAACCACTGAACAATCAGTTTCATGTTAAATACAATTCCAAATATTCTGGCTGAAGTAAAAATGTTTATATATGAATATTATATCAGAGGCACATAATTACTATTCCTAAATTCTTTACATAGATTCTTAAAAAATGAAACATAATATAATTTGTAGACAGGGCATGAACGTCATATATGGACAATTTGGGAGTTCTCATTCTTTCTGGAGTGTTAATCAAGTTTAAATAAAGACTGATCAAAATGTGTTGTATAATAACAGTAATATGTGCATGTCCCATAAACAAATAAGTTTATGTGCATTTTACACTGTCATTTTTATCAAGTTTAAATAAAGACTGATCAAAATGTGTTGTATAATAACAGTAATATGTGCATGTCCAATAAACAAATAAGTTTATGTGCATTTTACACTGTCATTTTTCGTGCAGCCGTACAAAAATCAAAAGACTTAGATCCATAGTAAGCCATTCACAATAAGTAATTTTTTAAGCCCATTAAAAACGTTTTACTATAGTGTTTTAGTTTAATACTTACATATTATCATGTTTTACACATTCAATAATACCAAATTCATTTTTCACACTGATAATTTATATTTTTGCTTAATTAATTCTGAGATAAAACAAAAATCTCCTGTTTAAATTTCTACCGTTTATGATCAAAATAGAGATGGACATTTTGGTAGAATATTGATGGCATGTATTTTAATAAGTTATGAGCAGTAAGATGTCATAACTGGTAGTATTCATGGTCTTGATAGGAGGGTGATTTATGGATCAAGCAGGGTAATAATTAATTACACAAACAACTTAGCAAGCAGATGTGAAGTGCACCAATCAGAACTTAGCTAACGACAGCAATAGGCAAGCATCTATAGAATGATAAGCGGGTAATTAATTATGAATTTTTAAGTGCTTATTTTGGATACAAGCATATTCGGAACTGTGTCTAATATAGGCTATGATTTATGGTCTCCCAACTGAAAAAGTACAGTTGCACCACGAACTGGTTATTTGTAATTGATTACTATACACATGAACAATATATCAATATATGTAACATTATAACATAAAATCTCAATTTAAGCATTGAAAAATGACTTACGCCTCTACAATAAAAAATAGTAATAATGTCTAGAATAAAATCCGGGAAACCCCTACAAAATTCAATTAAGAATTCATTGAATAACCCAATAAAATTATTAATTAATTAATTACCTACTTCTAACAAAACACAAATTAAAAATGTACTGTTTGCATGAATAAAATTGAGAAAATTTCAATAATTTAAATATAATTTTGAATATCTCATTTTAAAAGATCAACTAATTTATCAACTTCCAACTAGAAACAGATTGAAAAGAAGTTTTTGAAAATTTATAGATATTTTACAAAAAGAAATCCTTAAATTGATTACCAGCCAATTTAAAGGTCTATGCAGAAAAAATACAAGAAATGTATTATCTAATTGTCTGTTAACTGATGTGGGAAATTCATTACCATTTTCATTTGTAAGCTACCAACTTACTAAAAGATACAAATTAGGAAATTCAAATATGGAATGAAATTTTCCAGTTACACTGATTTACAGACATTTTAATACAAAAATCCTCAACAGCTAATATTAGGGTCAATATAAAGAATACTGTAATAGGAACGGCTTTATTGATGTGTATATTATTCCTGCTTTAATTTTCAATTGAGGGCAAATATTATATATTGTAATTCTTATATTTCATTTTATGATATATATCTAATAGCTCTACATAGTGTATATTCTAGATTTAAGAATATTAATCAATCCAATATTCCGCCTTACACTGCATGTCATTTTAGATGTGTGCAGTAACAAAATAATTACTATCAATTCTGACATTTTGCCTTTTTAAAATTTACGTTAAATTTACTTATTTAATAGCATTCTGGCATAGTCAATGCTAATTATCTTCACTATGGTCAAAATTAAATTAGAAAAAAAAATTTTCAACAGTAGGCCTGAATATATATTGAAAATGAAAAAGAAAATCATAAGAATTAGACATAAAAAGAAAAACAAAAAACATTAAAACAATATTTTTTTAATGTATTTAATTGAAATTCCTAGTTCATTTACTAAAGAACTATGGTTTTGTTAAAATGCCATTTGTTTAAAAAAAGTAGATATAAATATGTCAAGGAATCAGGCTTGAATAGTATCTACCGGTATATATTAATATTCAATCATTGACATAGTCATTTAACAAATAAATTTATTTTTGCCTATCATATATGTTCATCATTTAAACAGAATTAATTAAATCTTTATTTAATAATTACAAAAATAATAATAATTCTCAATTTTATTTAGAGAATATCATAATTTCCATTTTTGCAAAAACATTATAAATTACAACTTCAAAAAAGGTGAACAATTAATTAAAGCATAAAAAGAGGGTTTAACCAATTACATTTCAGTAATAGCATTTTAGTTATAAGCAGATTGTTGTACCCCTCCCCCATATGAAAGTGTACTTACCTCCGTTTGATCTCTGTCGTGCAGCAAGGGAATGCCGTGAGCACCCCAGTAATATCAACAATAACAATCCCTTCATTAGGATAAAATACATACTTGTAAAAAAGTCAATCAATCTGTACTATGACATCTCACAAATTACAAAAATATATAATAATGCACTAAATATCACACGATGTTGAAACACTCTTGCTATGTTATAACTGTAAAAGCATGGTCTCTTAGGTAACCAGCAACAAACTTAAATCCAGAGGTCCTCTCGCTTGGAGATACTAATATCTACTACTACCACTACTCATAACACTTTGTACTGTGCTGGCTGTTTGTGAACTTTGACCTGCAAAGACTCTGTAGTATTCTTAGTTATAGGCAATCACAAATAAAATCCTTGTTACACCTATAATGCTCAACCACTGAAGTGTGAAATCCATACGGCACACACCTGCTTTATCTAGTATATTGATCCTAAATAACTATGAACGTTGATCACCCCCAGGCACCTAGCGAACAGGGTCAATTAGTTGCAAGTATTATATTAAGACATACATCATACACAAACCTATTAGATTTAAATTGCTATTGGCTGTAGAGTTATCAAAGCATATAACCAAAAAATGAATAATTTTGAAAATGGCTAGAAGCTAAAACAGTTCAAATTTTTCATATTAGTAAAAGAAATATTGCAACCACTTGTAGAAAAAAAGAAATGTGGCAAATTAGAATGGATTTGTCCATTGAATTAAATTCCAATTTATTTCTGGAAAACTAAGTATTCAAATCTTGGATAGTCAATTTCAAAGTGCAATGAGAAACATAATACTACATTGGTGAAGCCTTCAAAGGATAACTATTAAATTGCAAGATAAAAGATAAAATAAAAGCTACCCTAGAATTTTCCAAACAGCAAAAAAAAAAAAAAAAAAAAATTCTATTGATATTTATATTATCTAAATTTTATAGCAAAACATATATACAATACACTTTTTCGCTGGATGTTTCAGTTTCAGTTTCAGTGGAGATGTGTATAAGAGACAGACTACTACCACTACTCATAACACTT